TCAACATATGTCTCCAACACCGAAAATGTAAGCAAGAGTAACGATTGCACATTGATGAGTTCCTCCTCCGCAACCAAAAGCTGTCAAAAGTTGTAGGGAGAGAAACCATTTGAAGGACAATGAGTGGATTGCTAAGCAATAAATTGGTTTCAAAACAATTCAAAAGGTCCAATTTACTTATGTGGAGAGGCAAAGCGATAGAGGAACTGACAATATCATAGGTTATAGATTACAGAGCCTGGCATCCAGGACGTCCTTTTAACGACATTCCAAATAAGAAAAAAAGCACCACAGCTGACTCAATGTATGTCTGCTCGATTTATTGTAATTATTTACATACGTGGCCTCGTCCAGTTAATCACAATAATACGCGCCTCAACTCCCGCGCGGGCAAACGACCGTTACAGCAACTTTGAAAAGGCACCAGAGTAGAACAGTTCAAAGCGCGACAATTCCAACCCGCAATAGCACCCTCACTAGTTGCTGCGTCACGATATCTCAAGGCACCCCTTCAAAAACTTCAAATTCGTGAAAAAGTATTCAAAAATTTTCAAAGTAGCTCATAATATTAATTTTTAGCAGATGATACCTTACAACCTTACACCTAAACAAATCTAAACACAACTATACATGAGTAATGTAAGGTGTCATTGCTTTAACTCTCGATTAAGAAATATTAAAGAGAACGTATAGCAAGCTGCGCTAGGCGGGGTCGTGAGGCGGCTGAGGCGGCTGAGGCCGTCGCTCGCGCTACGCGTTGTTGCGCCGAGCCACTAGCCGAGCCGAGCGGAGCCAAGCCGAGCCGAGCGGAGCCCGAGCCCCGAGCCGAGTCGGCCGCGCTGTCTACGCTAGTCCTCCCCCTCCCTCGCACCGCTGGAGCCCCCGCACCACCAACCTCCCTTCCCCCCTTCCCCACAAGTGTAAATACAGAAATATAATAGACTGGGATAGAATAATTCTTGACAAGGTATCATCTGCTTTCACGATCCGTTTCTAGTCGGAACTTTTTTTTGTTAAAATAGAGTGTCTTGCAAGTTTTTGTCTGGTCGGAATGGCGTAATCGGATTGTTGAAATTCGCGTTAGGTCCCGCTGCCGTGAAATTGGCGGGACCCATGTAAACACGTCGTTTTCCCCAATATCGTTTTCCCCAATGAAGAGACGAGCACAGTTTTACGTCATTTTCGCCCATAAAGAGACGAGTACAGTTTTTGCGGCCTAGACGGTTCGAAAGCACAGTTAAAGCACAGTTTTTTGGCGTGCTCAGATTTAATGGTGCGTCACTGGGTCCCGCTAGCCCTGTTTACTGGGGCCCTCTCGTCAAATTACGTTTTTGAAGGTGCGTATGGCCACCTGTCGTGGACGCACAACTAAAACGGATAGCACAACCTGAAAGCACAGTTTTTTCCGGTCAGAATGGCATAATCGGATTGTTGAAATTCGCGATGGGTCCCGCTGTCGTGAAGTTGGCGGGACCCATATAAACACGCCGTTTCCGCCCATAAAGAGACGAGCACAGTTTTTGCGGCCTAGACGGTTCGAAAGCACAGTTTAAGCACAGTTTTTTGGCGTGCTCAGATTTAATTGTGCGTCACTGGGTCCCGCTGGCGTGAACGTAGCGGGACCCTTTTTAATTTGAGGTTTTCGTTACGAAGGAGTGGCAAACAGTTTTTTTTAAGTTGATTGTTGGAAAGCACAGTTTTTGCACAGTTTTTTAGGATAGGTCGCAAAAACTGTGCTTGAATGGGTCCCGCCAACTTCACGGAGGT